AAACTTCCTCGCTTAACAGATTTGAACATTTAAAGTTACCACTATCTCTGTATCGGAGAAAGGTGGACCGTTTGATTTCAAAACGTGCGGATGTTTTGATAGCAAGTGGTGCAAAATTTGCGATCTGATTCAGATACAACTAATTATCGTCATATAAAAATGACACAAAAGACTGTGATATGCGATTAACTGTATACAACTTGCGGGATTTGAGTAAAACTCGATTCAATTTATCACCACTCCTTTGAAGAAAGTTCGTCTGGAGTATCAGACAGGGGAGTATCGGTCACTAGAATTTTCACTCCTTGCAGCCATGCTACCGGTGACAGATCTTGTATTGCAGCCGCTATGAGGCTCTATATGATGAGTGGAAGAGGGTGAGGCTAAGAGGGTTTCGAGGAAGGACATATCAAGGACACATTTGTATTAAATCACATCTGATATTCTCACTCTTTTTTTACGAAAGTGTACTTCAAGAAGTTAAGAGAAAGTTAGAAGACATGAAATCAATTCAGATTGAGGTCACCGCTCCTGTTTTATTCTATTTTTTTGAGAAGCTGCTTTACTGTCTCCAACTCTTTAGTGATAATGAATGAGTTTAGAAAGGTCGGTTGTTCAATTAAATTGAAGCTGTCGCTAGCTCTTCCACTAAAGGATACTGGAGGAAAACTTGAATTAATTCTCGAGAATTTAGATAGCTAATTAAATTGTTCATTGTGCAGTGGAATACAACAGAGAATGAGCAACTTCCTAAATGATCTAATGACGCCGTATGATCTCGATATCTTCATACACAAGACTTTACCATAGGCAAAAATCTGTTGTCAGTTGGAAAGCTTGCAAAAATGCAAAAGAATCAGTGGATAAGTTTCTAGATTTCATGTGATGAGAAAATCCGTATTTTTAATCTTGAGCGTACCATTTACGACTATCGGGAAAGCTCATCTAATTTCTTGTATCTGCTCGCAATACTCTGCATATGTAACGTTTACAAGTTTCTCTTGTCCATTTTGTCTTAGAACAGCATAGAATGAAGCTTTTTACAGCATTTGAAAAGTAAATATGCGTTATATCTATACTGGTCTTCGCCCTTTTTCCACAGATGTCGTTGCTTTATAGCGTGGTGAGCGCTTTATGAAAACAGTAGTCATGGCCATGGATATTTGGCAGAGTTATTATTCAATTATAATTTTCGTCTTATATTGTTATCGTAAACATTTGTATGTAAATAAAAGTAAGGGAGAAATTTTATCGACAGAAAAAAATTAATTAAGAAAGCACATATTATATCTTCAGATTACAAAACCTAAGCTCCTAGTCTCTAAACTATGCTTTGAATGAAAGTGTACCTCAACCTATTTGTCAGGGAAAAAACTGTCCGCTATCGTTTTTCTTCGCTTGATTCAAATCCATCAACATCTTGACTTGATCCAGATTTAGTTGGCTGCATATGGATAAGAAGTCAAATGAAAAAAATTCTTCTTAAAGATAAGTCACAGCAAAAGTGTAGTTATTTCTTCAGAGAAAACTTCACGGAACTCTTCCCTCCCTTCTTCGTTCATGCGGAGCTGCGCGCGATGCAGTAATCCGCAATTGTTTGGATTAACCTCGTTGCTCGGAAGATCCGAGGCAGTTTGAATTATCCTCTTCCAGCGGGTGCTCCATCGCATATGCAGGTCTGTACCGAAATGACGTTCTCAAAAGTTGCTATTCCAGCAGTTTTTCCTGTTATTGCATTGCAGTACTTCACGACATTTTCAAATTCATAAACATTTTTGTTCCAGTGTGTTTGACACAAAATGCACGATAGATCCCCAAAAAAGTTCAAAGCATTTTGAAGTTTACAAATAAATTCGATCCATATAGATAGTTTGAAGTGTGGTATAGAACTGTTCTGAATATTGTCAGAGACTTTACCATGTTCAGGGCAGTTTTAGGCTTACGACCTTTTGACAGGCTTTTCTCTATATCTAAACACCTTAAAAGGAAGGAAATCAACTTTTACAACAAGGCCAGAAAGCAGAGATTGTCTTCATTCTCATTTCACTTATGAAACTCAAATCACAATGAAAGGGAGAACCGTCTTTGAATCTGTAAGGATCATAGAAAGAGTGTGAAATTAATTGTAACTCAATAGGCCAAATGTTTTTTTTCTGACATTTGTAGAAGCGTCTGCGAAAAAATTTCAATGTATTTTTAGATGATGATTGCTCTGTTAGCAATCGTTTTCTCACCATCTACCTCTGCCTTTCTTTTCGGGAATTCAAAATCTGCATGCGCCTGCCCATGCGCGCAGAGCTCCTGTCCAATTTATCCTGCGTGTCCACCTGTGCAGAGATGTTCCGAACAGGTATGTGCACAAATGAGTTGAGTTTTAATGATGATTGAATCTGTTTTCATTGCCCA